GAATCGAACCAGACACCTAAATACTCAAACGACATGCTGTGAGTGATTGTTCTACCCATAAGTTGAAGCTGAAACTGTGCTGGATAAAGCTTCCTATAAAAAAACAATTAGGGGTTCGATATTGTTGTGTCTAATATTTGATGCCGGGCATGAGATATTCGGTACATTTATTGGTCCTGGAATGATAAGTACAGTGATAAATAAAGCAATATGCAAAGACTGAAGAATTCCTCGTTGAATCATTAGCAAAGTGGTTATTTTTACTTTTGGAAAATTTGTCTCCATAATACCTTTAATAATAAGTTACTTATTGCAATTTTATGCAAAGTAATTTATTACAGGTAGATGATAGCCGACCGATTCAACAGTTTCGATGTGATGATATTGAAACACATCGTTTGAACAATGAATGGAGGATCTGGAAAGGCGCTTTAGAATGTTACTTCGAAGCTTATGATATTGAGGGGCAAAGAAAAAAGCGAGCCAAACTTTTACATTTGGGTGGTCCTCAACTGCAACGCGTTTTCCAGAATCTTACGGATCGTGAAAACTTTCCACTGGTTTCGGTGGAAAAGCAATGGCATGATGTGGCAATCAATGCACTTGATGGATTTTTTCAACCTTGTCGACAGGATTGCCTTGAGCGACACAAGTTAAGGCAAATGAAGCAAAAGGACGGGGAAAGATTTTCTAATTTCATACTACGATTACGGCAGCAGGTCGCAGTCTTTTGGTGTAGTGTTGGAGAGTGTTGAAGTTCAAGTAAAAGATTTGAACGGAAAGCCAAAAGAGAACTCAGTCGGACAGCAGACGTATAAAATCACCGCAGCATCTGTCAGAGACCGTAGTTTCAGACCACAAGCAACGCATTATGATTCGAAGAAGTGTAACAAATCAGCCTATCCAAGGATCTACCGGTGTTATAACTGTGGACGTCGCGACCACATCTCTACTGATAGGAGATGTCCAGCACGGAATATAGTGTGCCGTGGATGTAAAATTACTGGCCATTTTGAGTCGTGTTGCCGTCTACGAAGTTCAAAGAAACCACTTCCCTTGGAGAAGAATCGAATTCGTGTGGTAGAAGAAGGGACAACAGTATCTGGACTTTCGGCGCAACAAGATACTGACAAAACTTACTACACGTTCTATTCGGGAAATAACACCAATGTTATTAAGTGTGAAGTTGGTGGAGTCGATTTGCATCTTCTCGTTGATTCGGGATCTGATGCCAATCTAATTCCAGATTCAGTGTGGGAAAGGTTGAAACAAGCGAAGTTTGTTGTACGGCAATGCACCAAGGGAAGCTCTCGAATCCTTAAAGGCTACGCAAGTGATTCACATTTGTAGCAGACGTTACTGTTGGAAATAGTTCAGTTGAATCAGAGTTTTATGTTGTAAAAGGAGGGCAGCGATCCTTACTCGGTGATAGCACTTCTAAAGAGTTGGGTCTTCTCAAGCTTGGATTGGATGTGTATCGGGTTACATACGAAACAAAACCATTCTCTAAGATTAAAGGTATCCAAGTGCAGATCCATATGGACCCGAATATTCCCATACCGCTTGAAGAGGCAGTTAACCGGAAATTGGAGCAGCTTCTGATCAAGGATATTATTGAGGTATTACCACTTGTAGTCGACGTAAAAACCAATGGTGAACCTAGAATCTGCCTTGATCTGCGCCGTGTTAATGAAGCGGTTCTTCGTGAGAGACACCCGATGCTGGTCGTAGACAAATATTAAGCAAGGCTAGGCAAGGGAAAATACTGGAGTAAGCTGGATATCAAGGAAGCGTTTTTACAGGTCGAGCTAGCACAGGATTCACGGGATGTAACTGTGTTCATTACTAACAAAGGGTTATTCCGTTTCAAACGGCTTCCGTTTGACCTTGTCAACGCAGTCGAGTTATTTCAAAAGGTCATGGATCGAATTTTGGCAGGGTGCGAAGGAACGTATTGGTCTAGACGATGTAATTGTTGAAGGCAACGGTCGCGAGGAACATTATGAGCGGTTGAAAGAGGTTCTGAAACGTTTTGATGAGCACAAAGTCGAACTGAATTGGGATAAATGAGTATTTCGGTTTAGGAGCTTCCCTTAGCTCAGTCGGTAAAGGCGCAGCTACAAAGCAAGACCATGCTGGAGGCGGCTGGGTTCGATTCCCGGTCCGGTCTAGGAATTTTTCGGGTTGGAAAATTTCTCGACTTCCCTGGGCATAGAAGTATGATTGGATTTGCCACACAATCATATCAATGCAAAAATGGTACAGGCATCGAAAGCTCTCAATTAATAACTGTGGAAGTGCATCTAGAACACTAAGTTGAGAGCACGCAATAAGCTAATATGCGATATGCAATAAGCTTAAAATGCGAAGGAGAAGAAGAAGAAGAAGAGTATTTCGGGTTACAGAAATAATATTCTTGGGTCACAAAATCACCTCCGATGGAATTGCTCCGGCGGATAACAAAGTGGATGCCATCCGATCATTTCGACGGCCGGAAAACGAAGCAGAAGTCCGAAGCTTCTTAGGTTTAACGAATTATCTTAACAAATTTATACCAGACTTGGCTACTCTGGATTAGCCACTCCCGTACGTTAACCAAGGAAGATTCAAAATTTGAATGGTCTGCACGACATTAAAATTCCTATGACAGTATTAAGGCGGCGATGACTGATATTCTAAGGTTGGGGTTTTTTAATAAACATCACAGAACGACGATAATGGCAGATGCTAGTTCCACGGGTCTAGGGGCATTATTGATACAAACTGATTCAGAAGGACACAGTCGAGTTGTTACTTGCGCGTCAAAATCTCTTACTGACACTGAAAAACGCTACTGTCAAACAGAGAAAGAAGCCCTAGCGATCGTTAGGAGCGTAGAGCGATTTCAAGTTTACTTATTCTTCGACTCCAAGCTTCCGATTATTTAATGACTCATATTTACAGAGAGAAAAATTTGGCAGATGTACTTTCAAGGTTGAGTACGTTAGCACCAGTGCCATTCGATCCGAGAGAAGAACTTTTTATTAAACAAGTTGTTTTATCGGCTGCAACATTCGCTGCCCTTCGTAGGGAGGATATTGTTGAAAACCCGCGTCCGGAAACTTTACACGAAGTTGCCCACCAAATCGTGTTGCATCGTGACGGATGACAAAACTTACGTCGAGGCCGACTTCCGGCCGTTCCGGAGGATGTTCGAAAGAGGAAATTATCGAAATTTGCAAATAAGTTCCTGATCTGGCAGGCGAAATAAGCGCTCCCTTCATGACTTCCGGAACAATCAGCGGTGCTATTTACACGGAAGAGTAAAGCGTCTCTTGCCATTCATGAGGAAGCACAAAGGATCAGCTCTGTTTTGGCCTGATCTAGCATCCTACCACTACGCGGCCAAAATGATGAACCGGAACTTGGCCCAATTGAAAAATTCTGGGCAATTATGGAGACGGAACTTCACAAACATCCCAAAACCATTAAAGGAGAGCAGGAGTTGAAGAAAATTGGGGTAAAAACCGAGGAGGCGACACATCTAAATCTCAAGTTGAGATGCTTAATCTCCAACTAGCGAATCAATCTTCGAAAAATCTTCTTTCATTTCTCGCATCTACTTGCATCACCATCATCTTTTTGCAGGAAATCTTCAGAATCATCGTCAATCTTCTTTCTATCTACTCAGCGTGCACGCAGCTAGCCACAGCAAAACACAATATTTCCTGCATCGTAGATAGAGTCGTCCCCCTCGGTAAAAACAACAAAAACACTGCGAAAATCGGTTTTACAAAATTTGATGGGTGGAGTGAAAAGGAAGGTGCGGGCATTCGGAATGGGAAACGAAGTTGAGTGAAACAAATTTTGTAAATCATAACTCATTAGTAGTTTTTCATTGCCTGAAAATGTCAAGAAATTCCGATAAACGGTTTAATTTTGTTGAGTAAATATGTGTGTTCCATTTTTATCGAATAAAAACACCCTTTAGAAATAGCTTATAGCAGAAGGAGCGCCAAGAAGCAAAATTTTCGATAAAATTTCAAGAGTTAAGGCACTTTTCTTCAAAATGGGAAAAAATTACTCTTTAATGGGTACTTTCAACGTGTTAAACACATTTTATTGCTATTACCATAAGGCGGGGTGACAGTGGACTAAAATTGAAAAATGTTTAATAATGCAAATAGTTTAGTGAAATGTTGAATATTTTAACATGTTTAAAATTGTTTACCTTGGTTAAATTTGAATGTTGTAAGGTAGGGACGAAATTTTTTAACTTTCGGCCCATTGTCACGGCCATTTACGGTATTTCTAAGTGTACAGCTGTCATCACCATAATGTGACCCTTACGCAATCCATTTCAAAGCTACTGACTTTGCCCTGCCATGCTGTGTGTTAGATTTCTTGTCAAATGTTGAAATGTCGTTTGTTTGCTTCTTTCGTTCAACTGCCCCATTTCACTCGTCCCACTTTTAAATTCAATGAAAAACTTTCCAACCCCAAAATTGGGACGGATTTGCCGGGAGCGATTTAGTTTATTTGAAGGGGAACTTTTATTTCTGCGCTGTTTCCTCGGGGCGAGTTTTCCGGCCGCAGCCACGACGATGAAATGGTGTAAATTAAATTACTTGGGGTTTACCGGGTTCAAAATTATGCAAATCCTGGATAAAGTTTACTGCTGTAATTCTCTATTCAAATACTGATATCTAAATCAAACTTTTCAGTGTCTGTGCTTCGTGTGCCAAACAAATAGAAACTTAGTGCTAGGCAGGGTTGCCAGGTTTTTTTTTAATATCAGGACACCCACGAATAAAAAAAACAGGATTAATCAGGAAAGTCTTAAAATCAAATGAAAAAAAAATTGAAACACTGCCATTAACTATTGAAAATTTTGGAGGTGGTGATGGGATAAATGGGATCTTTATCATTTATCAGGATGAAGTCAAAATTTCAGGATAAATTCGGATACCTGGCAACCTTGGTGCTAGAGAACAGTGGTGCAACAAAATTCGGAAAGTTGATTAAAATCGTTCCTTCAGGATCAAATAGTACGAATAGGACGCTTGGATGACCAGCCCGAGCCGTTCGATGTTCACATAGTAGAACTTGGCTGCGGTGATCCCGGTTGGGATCTGGGCTCGTTGAATGATCATTTTGATGTCTTTCTGCATCGCAACCGATTCCGTGTACCAAGGGTAGTCATACATGGCGTGTGCAACACCGAGAGCCTATCGTTTTGAGAGAGGAAGAAATTATTTTAACTTCAAGAACCATGCATGTAATTAACTGAACGAGGCTTACTTTTTCACTGAGTATAGTCCCGTTGACACAATAGACCACCATTTCACCCATCAGGACAACGAAGAGCAGAATCACATTCGCGGCGTTTGGTCCAAAGTTCTGTAAATATCAGTTGAGCTCAAACTTCCCGTCTGAACACCAATTCATCATAACAACCTACCGTCGATACGTAGAACATCATTAAACACCAGATCAGGATGCAGTTCAAAATTTGATTGATCAAAATGAAGCTTACTGTAGCTTCCAAATGTTCCACATACTCCAGCGCCAAGTTGTGCAGTTCCACAATCTGCCGAAGCTCACTGCGGCGATCATCCACCTTCTTCGTTTGGGCCATTTTGGTAATCCGTCCGGTAACGATTTCAAACAACTTCGTACCATACTGAATCGTTACCAGGATGACCGATCCTTTCAATGCACTTTGATAAGCCGAACAAACCACCGCCGCCACACAGAAAACCATATAGATTGTATAATGGACGAAGTTCCGACGGATGTCCAACCAATAGAACTGCACCTCGATGATCAACATGAAATCGCTTCTTTCTACTTCATCCACACAGATCATCTTCACCGCCGTCGAAACGATCGGAGCTCCCAGGTACAGCAACACCAAGAATCCAATGTAAACCGCATAGATCCGAGCAAAGAGCTCCATCTTCCGGTGGAAGCGATCAATTTCATCCTGCAACTCCCGCGGCCAATCGCGCTGAAGAATCCGCTCCAAAACATCAACCATCCGCTCAAACGAGGCTCGCCTGGTTGCGAAAATCCCAATCGAAACACAAACCTCAATCAGGAAAATCAACTCAGCGACATTGCGAGCAGTCGAATCGAAGCCCTCTTTGCCGGATCCAAGCACGGCTTTCGGACCGATCAGAACGACCAACATGCACAATATGGCCAGCAGATAGCGGAATACGTTCCGCCGGTCGCCCCACAGCCCGATGAGGCGCAACATCTGCAATCCAAACGAAAGAAGTTCCGGTTTCGGAGAGATGAATTTCCTCAGGACGAACATGCTTGCAAGCGAACTGTGAGGACCGGTCGTGTTGGGCAGTTAATTTATAGCCGAGTGACGGTAGTTGGCAGTGGGGATATTTCGAAAAAAAATAGGTTATTGTGCAGCATCATTTCGAATAATCATGTGTTGAATTCGAAATTCTACTTCCGGAATTTGAAATTTATTTAATCGACTAGGGAGGTTCTCTACACTGAAGATGAAAACAACTTGAAAATGAGTGCAATTTTACTTTGTTTTGTATTTCTTTCACCAAAAGCGATGCAAAGTTTTAAAAGATACTGTTCAAGAAAGCATTTATCCAGAGGATTATTATAACCGTAAAGGCCCGAACGCAATGACAGCGGAAGCGAAACGGCAGCGGTAGCGGAAAAGCCCGATCAGAGTAAGCCTACTTGCGGGTTGGAAACGAGCTAAAACCCAAACTGGCTCCAGCAACCAGCAAGACATGTTAGCGTCATTTGTGACAACTGTCAAACCTTGTCGCTGTCGTTCCTCTTCCGCTCTTATTACGTTTGGGCCTTAAGTGGTGCGGTGTGCAGGAGTCCACAGCAAGTAAGAATTCACCATTTAGTCAAGCTTCTGCATTCATTTTAACCATAGAGGTAACTCTAAGACCAGAAGGTCCCGAAGAAACGTGCTCAACTTTTTGGCTCAGTTCTGATACTCTCTTCGGTCTCAAGCTAATCCATGCACTGCTCAAAACATAGGGTTCGTGACCTCTCATTTTATCTGTCAAACTTTCATAGCGAATCAAAACAAACATAGGGTAGTACTAGAATTTTGACTAAAATGGGGTACGTTAATCGATTTGCTTGGGACCAAGAGCCTAGTCAAGTAGTGAGCCAATTTAAAATCGTAAGCTTCCACCGGTTGTTTTAACTGCTGATGTCCCTGATTGCGGTGATATCTGTCGGACAGCACGCATAATCTGTTTTCCGTTAGTTGTTCACATAGGACAGTGCAGCCAAAAAACCTAAAAATCCCTTTCACAGACTACAAAATCGAGTACTTGACATTGCAAAACATGTCTGGTACCTCTCTCTCTCTCTCTATTTATTTAGATTGTGGCCTCCTTTAGCTTAGTTGGTAAAGGCGTAGACCATGCTGGAGGTGGCTGGGTTCGATGCACGGTCCGGTCTAGAAATTTTTCGGGTTGGAAAATTTCTCGAGTATGATTGTACTTGTCGTGTCATTCCTAGTTGAACACTCAGTCGGTTAACAACGTCCCGGTCTCAGTCGCGCGGCATCTAGTTTTTTTCGGTGTTTTTTCCGCCCGAGCGGTTTTTTCACCCCCCCATTGGGTGCCCCAAGTGACCAGTGTGCAACAGAGGAAGTGGAATTCCATGGGCCGAGCCCCTTGGAGTTGCCATCCAGCTTTAGTTCACCCCGGTAATCCATCCGGTCGTCAAGCCATCATCGTGCCGACCCACCAACACCAATCATCACCACCAGCAGCAGCAAACGGACCATCTAGCTGCAACGGCTGATAGGTTGTTTACAACCGGCATAAGTATTAGACAATACATTTTGCAAGTCCATTGCCTCCCTATTGTAGTTTAATTTTGCCTCGTGGCGCGTGACTCTGTCTCTCACCCCTGGTAGGGGAGTATGGGTCATAGTGAGACAACTTTTTGCAAGTAGATATAAGTTTTTTTTTTTTTTTTCGATTTTTTTTTTTCTTTTTGATTTGTTCGTACGTCGGGCAAAAAAATTAATTACTAGTAATTAAAATTAATTAATTAGTGAAGGTTTTAATTTTTTTTTCCTTCTTAAGTGGTTGCGCACCGCTTTTGCGCAACACTTATGGCATCTTCCGATGCCTACGTTACGCGAACCAGATACTATGAACCGTCTTCGAAAGGACCATGGGTTGTCTTTTTTCGGCCCAAAAATAAACCTTTGAAAACTCTCGACATAACGAGAGATTTGCTGCGTAAGTATCCGGGAATCTTGGTACACAAAGAAAGATTCAACAAACTGCGTGTAGAAGCACCGACTTATGATGTGGCAAATAAAATTGCTGACCACGAGCTTTTTAGTGTTGAGTATAACATCTACATCCCTTCTCGAGATGTGGAGATAGAAGGCGTGGTCTCCGACGCGAGTCTGACTGTCGAGGACTTGAAACATGCCTCGGGAACTTTTAAAAACTCGACATTCGCTACCGCGCTAGTGAAGATACTGGATGTAAGGCAACTGCATTCAGCATCTTTGCTAGACGGTAAAAAAGTTTATCAACATTCAGACTCGTTCCGGGTGACTTTCGCAGGTTCAGTTCTCCCAAACTTTGTTAAAATTGATGGTGCTTTTTTTCCAGTGCGGCTGTTTGTACAGAGGGTATATAATTGTACCAACTGCAAAAGGCTGGGACACTCGGCCAGCCATTGCAGCAACAAAACTCGTTGTGGCAAATGTGGTGAAAACCACAAAGAGGATTCTTGCCACAAAGAATCAGTAAAATGCGCTTACTGTGGCGAGAATCCTCACCCCTTGCAGGAGTGCCCGATGTACAAGCAGCACTCCGATAAAGTGCAGCGTTCAATCTCTGGACGCTCCAAGCAGACTTATGCGCAAATGGTGAAGGCTGCATCAGCCGTCCAAGATGCAAACCAATTTTCGATTTTGTCAGCTGAAGAATCGGACTCTGACTCATCGGATGAAGGTGATTCTACGGTGGTACACGCACCTTCAAAAATGGACGGATCCTCAAAAAGAAAATGCCCCTCCCCGAAAGTGCGCCGTAAGAAAACTAAAGTCACCTCCAGAAGATTGCCAAATTCCCAGGGTAATGGGGATGAAAAAACAAAACCGAAGGCTCCTGCTGATCCAATCCCTGGATGCAGCAAGAATTTTCCGCCATTGCCCAACAAAGATAAAAAAAATAAAAAAGCTGCTCCTCAAACGTCTCAAAAGAAATCCAAGTCCGAACGAGGTTTGCTAGCTTTTTCGGACATTGTGGAATTCATATTAAACATGTTCAACATACAAGACCCTCTAAGAAGCTTAGTTTCTGCCTTGCTTCCAACGTTAGAATCATATCTTAAGCAATTGACTGTTTCATGGCCCCTCCTTGCATCAATCATATCTTTCGATGGATAATTCGTCGAACGAGGTTGAAGATATGATCACTGTGCTACAGTGGAACTGCCGTAGTCTAGTGCCTAAACTAGACTCGTTCAAATTTTTACTTCACAATTCTGATTGTGATATATTTGCTCTCTGTGAAACATGGCTTTCTTCCGATAAAGAACTCAACTTCCACGATTTTAACATTATTCGCCTGGATAGAGACGATTCTTATGGAGGAGTACTTTTAGGGATCAAAAAGTGCTACCCTTTCTACAAAATGTCCCTTCCTGCTCTATCAGGCGTCGAAATCGTCGCTTGCCAAATAAATGTGAAGAACAAAGATCTTTGCATAGCTTTAGTATACGTTCCACCAAGAACCTCCATTAGCCGTAGTCAACTCTGGAATCTAGTTTCGATTCTTCCATCCCCAGTATTAATTCTGGGTGATATGAACTCCCATGGTACTGGGTGGGGCGATCTATATGACGACAATAGAGCGGCTATTTTTTACGATTTATGTGACGATTTCAATTTGACTATTTTGAACACTGGTGAAGCGACACGTATAGCAAAACCTCCGGCTCGAGAAAGCCGACTCGACCTATCTTTGTGTTCAAGATCGCTATCATTGGATTGTCAGTGGAAGGTTATCAATGATCCCCATGGTAGCGATCATTTGCCAATCATCATTTCAATAAAGTGTGGCCCTCACTCTGCAGAACCATCTCGGGTTCCATTTGATCTTACAAGGAACATCGACTGGCAGAAATATGCAACGGCGGTGACAATCGGTGTCGAATCAATAGATGCGCTTCCACCATTGGAAGAATATCGATTCCTAGCCGATTTGATTTACAAAAGCTCACTGGAAGCACAAAAAAGAAAAGTTCCAAGTGCACCCTTTAAAAGGAGACCAGCCACACCTGGTTGGGACGAAGAATGCACAAAATTGTATGTAGAAAAATCTGATGCTTTCAAAGCTTTTCGTAGACACAAAACCTCCACTTACTTCGAGGAATATTCAAAGCTTGAGACAAAGCTGAAACAATTAATCAAAGCAAAAAAACGCGGTTATTGGCGCAATTTCGTCGAGGGACTCTCACGAGAAACCTCAATGAACACCTTGTGGAGGGTGGCTCGCAACATGCGTAACCGCTCATCTTTCAATGAGAGTGAAGAATACTCCAACCGATGGATATTCGATTTCGCTAAAAAGGTCTGTCCGGACTCAGTTCCAGCACAAAATATTCTTCGAGAAGCGTCTCCTAGCGGCGGCTCTCTGGATAGACCATTCACAATGCTGGATTTCTCTATGGCTCTTCTTTCATCGAACAACTCCTCACCGGGAAGCGATATGATTAAATTCAATCTTCTGAAAAATCTCCCAGATATCGCTAAAAGACGCTTGCTAGATTTATTCAATTCCTTGCTAGAAAACAACATTGTACCGCCTGAATGGAGACAAGTCAAAGTAATAGCCATTAAAAAACCTGGCAAATCAGCGTCTGACCATAACTCATACCGTCCGATTGCTATGCTTTCGTGCATTAGGAAATTGTTGGAGAAAATGATCCTTCGGAGACTCGATCACTGGGTCGAATCAAATAACTTGCTATCAAATACACAGTTTGGGTTCCGCAAGAGCAAAGGAACAAACGATTGTCTAGCGCTGCTTTCCACAGATATTCAACTGGCCTTTGCGCACAAGGAGCAATTGGCTTCAGTATTCTTGGACATTAAGGGGGCTTTTGATTCAGTTTCCATTGAAATTCTGTCAGACAATCTGCACAGATGTGGACTTTCTGGAATTTTAAATAATTTCTTGTACAATTTGTTGTCAGAAAAGCAAATGAACTTTTCTCTTGGACAACTGACAACTTCCAGAATTAGTTACATGGGCCTGCCCCAAGGCTCATGTCTCAGCCCTC